ATAACTTTATTATAACAGCAATGCGGTGTAGCAGCATCACCAAAGAATATCATGTAGGACCAGGTATGTTTAGTTACGCCATTTTGTTATTTGAAATTATCCTGTGCAATGCATACAAATATGCAAAGGCTACAGCATTGAAATGACAATCATAATTGTAATGTATGACATTTCTTTCAATTTATAACATTTATAAAATTATTTTATCATAAACTGACTCCTATTAGAGTTATATAGAGTGAAAATGATCATCATTCTCAGAAAGTGCAAACTGCTTTCCCATGACAGACTAATGCTATGAATAAAAGCTAAAGTAATCCATCTAGTTCCTGACATATTTAACTTTGTACATCTCCTTTTTCAGTTATAAAACAGAACTCATTTAAAGTAGACTATACTAGTACCTGGCCACCAAAAATAGAATGGACAAATCAAACAGTGACATGCACCAAGACTCAGTTTCATTACAGCTGCATAAATACAAGCAAAGGTAACTAATTACTATCTGAAATTCCATCCTAATATGAAAAGTAAATATAATCAATTTTGTTTGATAAGACACTGTATAGTTGACAGCAGAATTATTATAATTTTTTTATTAAAGAGAGTTTCAACCTTGATCAACTGATACCACAGCAGAATTACACCTGCACTGCGAACATAAGTTACAGAAATGACACCTTCATTGTTAGGGATATAACATTTAACATCAGCTGTGGTAAGTACAAACTGAACACACTGAATTCTTTTTTTTTAAACTTAACATACTTTTATATTGCTTTTGTATTGTTCCTAAGGGAAATACATAAACATATTGTTTGATTTTCTTCCATAAACAACATATCTTTTACTAAAATGTTTAGAATTCCTTGAATCAGATTTTCTCAGCACACAGAATTATTAAAAAGAGCTTTTAATATAAATAATGTAGAATATTTAGTTTTAAAATTAAAATTGCAAAATATGTTGAACTGCAAAAACCATAATAAAATAACAATGAATAAATGAATGTCTCATAATTTCTTCCTAGATATAAACATAGACCTGGACAATAAGACAGGAAATACTTCTGTCCTGCTCATGTGGAACAGTACAAGCACAAAGTGCCCTCTGCTCCTGAATAATCTTACTTTTAAAAGTTGCATAAAAGAACAAAGTAATCAAGGAAAAGGTAAGTTTTAGTAATACTGATATAACAAACTCTGTCAATTAATGGAACACAGCTAGATACAGCTAAAACACCAAATGTAGCAAATTTTGTTACTTGTTACTCTGTAAAACAGAGAAATGATTACATTAATAACAATATGGCAAAAAGAATGAATTAGCAAAATTACTTTTACTGTTTTTTGTTATTTGTATTTTTATTTATTTGATTTTTTTTTTGCTTTTTCTTTTTTCAGAAATATGCCAGAAAAACATTTCAAAATACAATTTCACAGAGCTAAAACCATACACAGATTATATATTCTTTGTAAAGGCCTGGTATGGAGAACAGTATTTTGGAAGAAGTGAGAATAAAATTTACAAGACACTTGCGGGCAGTGAGTATTCTGCTTTCTGTGTTTTATTCTGTATTCTATTTTTATTACAGATTACTTATCTTAAGGGTTTGGTACAGTGACATCCCACCTCCATGACTGGGAATGTGATTCTCATCCCAGCTCTTTTGGGTGCAGTTTGCATGCTCTCCTTGTGTTGCATGGGTTACCTCTGGGTTATGCTTTCCTCATAATTTTGCATGCTATTATGTGTTGATGTGCATGTGCATTTTTATCATATTTGGCTACTCTGTAAATTTCATGTGCATGACCTTGTACAAACACCTTTACCTTGGCAAATGCTGTTTTGCTTCTGTCATATACATTTGTGAACAAAATACAAAAACAATAGAGAATCTTGAATCTTTGTATCACAGGTGTATGTAAATTTTCCATAGTGCGTGAGTATGTGCCCAGCTACAAACTAACACCCCATCCAGATTTGGGATGAAAATCCCACCTCCATTCTGAGTGTGTGGAATT